GTTAATGTAGCTTAACTATACTTAAAGCGAGGCACTGAAAATGCCTAGATGGGTCATAAGACTCCATAAACACAAAGGTTTGGTCCTAGCCCTCCCATTGGTTTTTAATAGAATTATACATGCAAGCCTCCACGCCCCAGTGAGAATGCCCTTCAGATCCACACAACCGATCAAAAGGAGCGGGTATCAAGCACACTCAATGAGTAGCTCACAACGCCTTGCTCAACCACACCCCCACGGGACACAGCAGTAATAAAAATTAAGCTATGAACGAAAGTTTGACTAAGTTATATTAATTTAAGGGTTGGTAAATTTCGTGCCAGCCACCGCGGTCATACGATTAACCCAAACTAACGGGCCTACGGCGTAAAGCGTGTAAAAGATCTATTAATACTAAAGTTAAAATTTAACCAAGCCGTAAAAAGCTACCGTTAATATAAAATAAGCTACGAAAGTGACTTTATTAACTCTGATTACACGATAGCTAAGACCCAAACTGGGATTAGATACCCCACTATGCTTAGCCCTAAACATAAATAATTCACTTAACAAAATTATCCGCCAGAGAACTACTAGCAACAGCTTAAAACTCAAAGGACTTGGCGGTGCTTCACACCCCACTAGAGGAGCCTGTTCTATAATCGATAAACCCCGATAAACCTCACCACCCCTTGCTAATCCAGTCTATATACCGCCATCCTCAGCAAACCCTTAAAAGGAAAGAAAGTAAGCACAATCATCTACACATAAAAAAGTTAGGTCAAGGTGTAACCCATGAGGTGGGAAGAAATGGGCTACATTTTCTAAATAAGAATATATTTACACGAAAGTTCTTATGAAATTAATAACTAAAGGTGGATTTAGTAGTAAACTAAGAATAGAGAGCTTAATTGAACTGGGCCATGAAGCACGCACACACCGCCCGTCACCCTCCTCAAATAAATTACCCTAAACTTATATAAATCAACATAAAAACATAAGAGGAGACAAGTCGTAACAAGGTAAGCATACTGGAAAGTGTGCTTGGATAAACCAAAGTGTAGCTTAAATAAAGCATCTGGCTTACACCCAGAAGATCTCATGTAAAATGACCACTTTGAACTAAAGCTAGCCCAAACAACAAACAACTCAATTACCAAACCAAGATTAAACAAAACATTTAGTCGCACACTAAAGTATAGGAGATAGAAATTTTTAACTGGAGCTATAGAGACAGTACCGCAAGGGAAAGATGAAAGAAAGTTTAAAGTAAAAAACAGCAAAGATTACCCCTTTTACCTTTTGCATAATGAGTTAGCTAGAACAACTTAACAAAGAGAACTTAAGCTAAGCCCCCCGAAACCAGACGAGCTACCTATGAACAATCCTCGGGATGAACTCATCTATGTCGCAAAATAGTGAGAAGATTTATAGGTAGAGGTGAAAAGCCAAACGAGCCTGGTGATAGCTGGTTGCCCAGAACAGAATTTTAGTTCAACTTTAAATTTACCTAAAAAACCAGAAATTTTAATGTAAATTTAAAATATAATCTAAAAAGGTACAGCTTTTTAGACAAAGGATACAACCTTACTTAGAGAGTAAACATAATCATAAACCATAGTAGGCCTAAAAGCAGCCACCAATTAAGAAAGCGTTAAAGCTCAACAACTAAATAACTATAATACCAGAAATCCATAAACAACTCCTAATATGATACTGGGCTAATCTATTAAATTATAGAAGAAATAATGCTAATATGAGTAACGAGAATTATTTTCTCCTTGCATAAACTTATAACTGAAACGGATACCCGCTGATAGTTAACAACAAGATAAAAACAATCTACCAATAGACAACCCATCAATTCAATTGTTAAACCAACACAGGAATGCAACCAAGGAAAGATTAAAAGAAGTAAAAGGAACTCGGCAAACACAAACCCCGCCTGTTTACCAAAAACATCACCTCCAGCATTACCAGTATTGGAGGCACTGCCTGCCCAGTGACATAAGTTAAACGGCCGCGGTATTCTGACCGTGCAAAGGTAGCATAATCATTTGTTCTATAAATAAGGACTTGTATGAATGGCCACACGAGGGTTTTACTGTCTCTTACTTCCAATCAGTGAAATTGACCTTCCCGTGAAGAGGCGGGAATAAAATAATAAGACGAGAAGACCCTATGGAGCTTCAATTAACTTACCCAATCAGAACTTACTTAAATTAACCGAAACGGAATAAAACAACTCTGCATATGGGTAAACAATTTAGGTTGGGGTGACCTCGGAGAATAAAATAACCTCCGAGTGATATAAATCTAGACATACCGGTCAAAATAAATTATCATTAATTGATCCAATAAATATTTGATCAACGGAACAAGTTACCCTAGGGATAACAGCGCAATCCTGTTCGAGAGTCCATATCGACAACAGGGTTTACGACCTCGATGTTGGATCAGGACATCCTAATGGTGCAACAGCTATTAAGGGTTCGTTTGTTCAACGATTAAAGTCCTACGTGATCTGAGTTCAGACCGGAGCAATCCAGGTCGGTTTCTATCTATTAAACAGCTTCTCCCAGTACGAAAGGACAAGAGAAGCAAGGCCCACTTGAACACAAGCGCCTTAAGACTTATAAATGATATAATCTTAATTTAGCCAGTCCAACCACACCATTAAGCCCAAGAACAGGGCTTGTTAGGGTGGCAGAGCCCGGTAATTGCATAAAACTTAAACCTTTATACCTCAGAGGTTCAACTCCTCTCCCTAACATCATGATCATAATCAATATCCTCTCGCTAATCATCCCGATCCTCCTAGCCGTAGCCTTCCTAACACTAGTAGAACGAAAAGTTCTAGGCTATATACAACTCCGAAAAGGTCCCAACATCGTAGGACCCTACGGACTCCTTCAACCCATCGCGGACGCTGTAAAATTATTCACCAAAGAACCCTTACGACCGCTCACCTCCTCCACATCAATATTTATTATGGCCCCTATCCTAGCCTTAACCTTAGCCCTAACCATGTGAATCCCTTTACCCATACCGTATCCTCTCACCAATATAAACTTAGGAGTTCTATTTATACTAGCAATATCAAGCCTAGCTGTTTACTCAATCTTATGATCCGGATGGGCATCAAATTCAAAATACGCCCTAATTGGAGCCCTACGAGCCGTAGCCCAAACTATCTCGTATGAAGTAACCCTAGCCATCATTCTTCTATCAGTATTACTAATAAATGGATCTTTTACCCTATCTGCGCTAATCACTACCCAAGAACACCTATGACTAATCTTCCCAACATGACCCCTAGCCATGATATGATTTATCTCCACCCTAGCAGAAACAAACCGTGCCCCATTCGACCTGACAGAAGGAGAATCAGAACTGGTTTCAGGATTCAACGTAGAGTATGCAGCAGGCCCATTTGCCCTATTCTTCCTAGCAGAATACGCTAACATCATTATAATAAATATCCTCACTACCACCCTATTCCTAGGGGCATTCCACAATCCATACATACCCGAGTTATATACTATTAACTTCACCCTAAAAACACTAGCACTAACAATTGTATTCCTATGAATCCGGGCATCATACCCCCGATTCCGCTACGACCAGCTAATGCACCTCCTATGAAAAAATTTCCTACCCCTCACACTAGCCCTATGCATGTGACACATAACCTTACCCGTAATCACAGCTAGCATTCCCCCTCAAACGTAAGAAATATGTCTGACCAAAAGAGTTACTTTGATAGAGTAAATAATAGAGGTTTAAGCCCTCTTATTTCTAGGACAATGGGAGTCGAACCCAACCCTAAGAAATCAAAAATCTTCGTGCTACCCAAATACACCACATCCTAAAGTAAGGTCAGCTAAATAAGCTATCGGGCCCATACCCCGAAAATGTTGGTTAACCCCCTTCCCATACTAATAAAACCCCCAATCCTCATCATAATCATAACAACTATTATATCAGGAACAATAATTGTCCTAACAAGCTCCCACTGACTGATAATCTGGATCGGATTCGAAATAAACATACTAGCAATTATTCCAATCCTGATAAAAAATTTTAGCCCCCGAGCCACGGAAGCATCCACAAAATATTTCCTAGTCCAAGCCACCGCATCCATGCTATTAATATTAGGCATTATTATCAACCTAATATCCTCAGGACAATGAACAATCCTAAAACTCCCAAACCCAATAGCATCGAATCTCCTAACTATCGCCCTAGCAATAAAACTTGGAATATCCCCATTTCACTTCTGAGTACCTGAAGTAACACAAGGAACCCCACTACCCTCAGGCATAATTCTATTAACGTGGCAAAAAATTGCACCCCTATCCATTCTCTATCAAATTGCACCATCAATTAACCCCAACCTGCTCACCATTATAGCAATTGCATCACTACTAGTAGGAGGATGAGGAGGACTAAACCAAACCCAGCTCCGAAAAATTATAGCCTACTCATCAATCGCCCATATAGGATGAACTACCATTATCATAATATATAATCCCACCCTAATACTCCTAAACCTAACAATCTATATTACCATGACACTCGGAACATTCATACTATTTATTTATAATTCATCTACTACAACACTATCACTATCCCACACATGAAACAAACTACCCCTGATAACATCCCTAATCTTAATTCTCATATTATCACTCGGAGGTCTCCCCCCACTATCAGGCTTCGTACCAAAATGATTGATCATACAGGAACTAACAAAAAACGACATAATTATTTTACCAACATTTATAGCCATCACAGCACTACTAAACCTATACTTCTACATACGATTATCCTACACCACAGCACTAACACTGTTCCCCTCAACAAATAATATAAAAATAAAATGACAATTTGAAAGCACAAAAAAGATGATCCTACTACCCCCACTAATTATTATCTCAACAATATTGCTCCCCATAACACCAATAATATCTATTCTAGACTAGGGATTTAGGCTAAACCAGACCAAGGGCCTTCAAAGCCCTAAGTAAGTTTCACTAACTTAATCCCTGCAAACTAACCTAAGGACTGCGAAGATATTCCTCACATCAGCTGAATGCAAATCAACTACTTTAATTAAGCTAAGCCCTTACTAGATAGGCGGGCCTCTATCCCGCGAAGATTTAGTTAACAGCTAAATACCCTAATCAACTGGCTTCAATCTACTTCTCCCGCCGTGAAGAAAAAAGGGCGGGAGAAGCCCCGGCAGGGTTGAAGCTGCTTCTTTGAATTTGCAATTCAACGTGACGTTTCACCACAGGACTTGGCAAAGGAAGGGCTTAAACCTTCATTCTTAGATTTACAGTCTAATGCTATTATCAGCCACTTTACCTATGTTCATAAATCGATGATTATTCTCTACAAACCACAAAGATATCGGTACCCTCTACCTATTATTTGGTGCATGAGCTGGAATGGCTGGCACTGCCCTCAGCCTACTGATCCGCGCGGAATTAGGCCAACCAGGCACCCTACTAGGAGACGACCAAATCTATAACGTAATTGTCACCGCCCATGCATTCGTAATAATCTTTTTCATAGTAATACCTATCATAATTGGAGGCTTTGGAAACTGATTAGTACCCCTAATAATTGGAGCTCCCGACATGGCATTCCCCCGAATAAACAATATGAGTTTCTGACTTCTACCACCTTCTTTTCTACTACTACTAGCCTCTTCTCTAGTTGAAGCAGGCGCAGGTACCGGATGAACGGTCTACCCTCCCCTAGCAGGTAACCTAGCCCACGCAGGAGCTTCCGTGGACTTGACCATTTTCTCTCTTCACCTGGCGGGAGTATCATCTATCCTAGGAGCTATTAACTTTATTACTACCATTATCAACATAAAACCCCCCGCCATATCCCAATATCAAACTCCCCTGTTCGTATGATCTGTACTAATCACAGCAGTACTACTTCTGCTATCCCTACCAGTCCTAGCAGCTGGCATTACTATATTGCTTACAGACCGGAATCTAAACACAACCTTTTTCGATCCAGCCGGAGGGGGTGACCCTATCCTATATCAACATCTATTCTGATTCTTCGGACACCCAGAAGTATATATCCTCATTCTACCAGGATTCGGAATGATCTCACACATCGTCACTTACTATTCAGGAAAAAAAGAACCTTTTGGCTATATAGGGATGGTTTGAGCAATAATATCCATTGGCTTCCTGGGCTTTATCGTATGAGCACATCACATATTCACCGTAGGAATAGATGTTGATACACGAGCATATTTCACTTCAGCCACTATAATCATCGCCATCCCCACAGGGGTCAAAGTATTCAGCTGATTAGCTACTCTGCATGGCGGTAACATCAAATGATCTCCTGCCATACTATGAGCTTTAGGATTCATCTTCCTATTTACAGTAGGAGGTCTCACAGGTATTGTGCTAGCGAATTCATCACTGGATATCGTCCTCCACGACACATATTACGTAGTAGCACACTTCCACTACGTTCTATCAATAGGAGCAGTATTCGCTATCATGGGTGGGTTTGTCCATTGATTCCCCTTATTTTCAGGATTTACGCTCGACGGTACCTGGGCAAAAATCCACTTCACGATTATATTCGTTGGAGTCAACATGACATTCTTCCCACAACATTTCCTAGGACTATCCGGAATACCACGACGATATTCTGATTACCCAGACGCCTACACAACATGAAATACAATCTCCTCTATAGGTTCATTCATTTCACTCACGGCAGTAATATTAATAATCTTCATGATTTGAGAAGCCTTCGCATCTAAACGAGAGGTAGAGGCGATTGAATTAACATCGACTAATATGGAATGACTCCACGGATGCCCTCCTCCTTATCACACATTCGAAGAACCCACCTATATTGTATTGAAATAAGAAAGGAAGGAGTCGAACCCTCTAAAACTGGTTTCAAGCCAACGTCATAACCATTATGTCTTTCTCAATATAGAGGTATTAGTAAAAATTTACACGACTTTGTCAAAGTCGAGTTATAGGTTAAAGCCCTTTATACTTCCATGGCATATCCCTTCCAAATAGGCCTTCAAGATGCAACCTCCCCCATTATAGAGGAACTAACACACTTCCATGACCATACACTAATAATCGTATTCCTAATCAGTTCACTAGTACTTTATATTATTTCAACTATACTTACCACAAAACTAACGCATACAAGCACAATAGATGCCCAAGAAGTAGAGACGGTATGAACGATCTTGCCAGCTATTATTTTAATTATAATTGCCCTACCCTCATTACGAATCCTCTATATCATAGATGAAATCAACAATCCTTCACTAACCGTAAAAACTATAGGACACCAATGATATTGAACCTACGAATATACTGATTATGAAGACCTAAGTTTTGACTCCTACATAATTCCTACGCAAGAACTAAAGCCCGGTGAACTTCGACTATTAGAAGTAGATAACCGAGTTGTGTTACCCATAGAAATAACAGTTCGCATACTAATCTCATCAGAAGATGTACTCCACTCATGAGCCGTGCCGTCCCTAGGACTAAAAACCGATGCTATCCCAGGACGATTAAATCAAACCACTTTAATAGCCATGCGACCAGGACTATACTATGGACAATGCTCAGAGATCTGTGGCTCCAACCATAGTTTTATGCCCATCGTTATTGAATCCGTACCATTATCTTGCTTCGAGAAATGGTCTGCCTCAATGCTTCAATCACTAAGAAGCTATATAGCACTAACCTTTTAAGTTAGAAATTGAGAGTACTCCAACCTCTCCTTAGTGAAATGCCACAACTAGATACATCAACATGGTTTATAACAGTCTTATCCATAATCCTAACGCTATTTATCGTGTTTCAATTAAAAATCTCCAAACACCATTTCCCAATAAGCCCAGAACTGAAATCACCATTAACATCAAAAATCAATACTCCCTGAGAAAAAAAATGCACGAAAATCTATTCGCCTCTTTCACTTCCCCTACAATAATAGGCCTCCCCATCGTAACTCTGATCATCCTGTTTCCAAGCATACTATTTCCCTCACCTAACCAACTAATCAGTAACCGCCTCACCTCAATCCAACAATGATTGATTCAATTAATATCAAAACAAATAATGTCAATCCACAATCACAAAGGACAAACGTGGGCATTAATACTCATATCACTTATTACATTCATCGGATCTACCAACCTACTAGGACTGTTACCACACTCATTTACTCCCACTACTCAATTATCTATAAACCTAGGAATAGCTATCCCATTATGGGCGGGAACAGTTATCGTAGGATTACGACATAAAACCAAGGCATCCTTAGCCCACTTCCTACCCCAAGGGACACCCTCTCCCCTTATCCCAATATTAGTAATTATTGAGTCTATCAGCCTACTCATTCAACCTATAGCCTTAGCCGTACGACTAACAGCCAATATCACTGCAGGCCACCTACTAATCCACTTAATCGGTGGAGCCACCCTGGCCCTTACTAATATCAGCATAATCACGGCCTTTATCACTTTTATCATCCTCACTCTACTCACAATCCTTGAATTCGCTGTAGCCTTAATCCAAGCCTATGTTTTCACTCTACTAGTTAGCCTATACTTACACGACAACACCTAATGACACACCAAACCCATGCATATCATATAGTTAACCCTAGCCCCTGACCACTGACAGGGGCCCTATCAGCCCTCCTTATAACCTCAGGCCTAATCATATGATTTCACTTCAGCTCAACCTACCTACTATTACTAGGTCTAGTAACCAATACACTAACTATATATCAATGGTGACGAGATATCGTCCGAGAAAGCACATTCCAAGGCCATCACACTCCAACCGTCCAAAAAGGCCTACGGTATGGCATAATCCTTTTCATCGTATCAGAAGTATTCTTTTTCGCAGGATTTTTCTGAGCCTTCTACCATTCCAGCCTAGCACCTACTCCCGAACTAGGAGGATGCTGACCCCCTATAGGAATCACACCTCTAAACCCACTAGAAGTCCCTCTACTAAACACCTCAGTACTTCTGGCATCAGGTGTATCAATTACCTGAGCCCACCACAGCTTAATAGAAGGGGACCGTAAGCACATACTCCAAGCCCTATTCATCACTATCATACTGGGCCTCTATTTTACACTTCTACAAGCCTCAGAGTATTACGAAACCCCCTTCACAATCTCTGATGGGGTCTACGGCTCCACCTTCTTCATAGCCACAGGATTCCACGGACTGCATGTAATTATTGGCTCAACCTTCCTAACCGTATGCTTCCTACGACAACTAAAATTTCACTTCACATCCAATCACCATTTCGGATTTGAAGCCGCTGCCTGATACTGACATTTTGTAGACGTCGTATGATTATTCCTATACGTATCCATTTATTGATGAGGGTCATGCTTCCTTAGTATTAATTAGTATAGTTGACTTCCAATCAACCGGCTCTGGCTACAACCCAGAAGGAAACAATAAACATAATTCTAGCCCTACTCACCAATACAATCCTGGCCTCCTTACTTGTACTAATCGCATTCTGACTACCTCAACTAAACATTTACTCGGAAAAAGCCAGCCCCTACGAATGTGGATTTGACCCTATAGGATCAGCACGCTTACCCTTTTCCATAAAATTCTTCCTAGTAGCCATTACATTCCTACTATTTGATCTAGAAATCGCATTACTATTACCCCTCCCATGAGCATCTCACGCAAACAATCTAACGACTACCCTCACTATAGCACTTACATTAATCTCCTTATTAGCTGTAAGCCTAGCTTACGAATGAACCGAAAAAGGACTAGAATGAACAGAATATGATAATTAGTTTAACCCCAAAACAAATGATTTCGACTCATTAGATTACGAATTACCCCGTAATTATCAAATGTCCATGGTATACTTCAATATCTTTCTAGCCTTCATCGTATCTCTCGTAGGATTACTCATATACCGATCCCACCTCATATCCTCCCTACTTTGCTTAGAAGGCATGATATTATCCCTATTTGTAATAATATCAGTAACAATCCTAAATAACCATTTTACACTAGCTAGCATAGCCCCCATTATCCTGCTTGTATTCGCGGCTTGCGAGGCGGCCCTGGGACTATCACTCCTAGTAATAGTATCCAACACATATGGAACTGATTATGTACAAAATCTAAACCTCTTACAATGCTAAAAATTATTATCCCCACTATTATACTGATACCCCTAACGTGAATATCAAAACCCCATATAATTTGAATCAACACAACAACCTATAGCCTACTAATCAGCCTCGCTAGCCTACCATTCCTAAATCAACTTGGCGACAACAGCCTAAATTTATCACTACTGTTCTTCACAGACTCCTTATCGGCCCCCCTTTTAACACTCACTACGTGACTCCTGCCCTTAATACTCATAGCCAGTCAATTTCACCTATCAAAAGAACCGCTGACCCGAAAAAAACTTTATATTACAATACTAATCCTCCTACAACTATTTTTAATCATGACATTTGCCGCTACAGAGTTAATTATATTCTATATCCTATTTGAAGCTACCCTAGTACCTACACTGATTATTATTACCCGATGAGGAAACCAAACGGAACGCCTAAACGCGGGACTATACTTCCTATTTTACACCCTAGTAGGGTCCCTACCCCTACTAGTAGCCTTACTCTATATACAAAACAATATAGGTACACTAAATTTCCTAGTAGCTCAATACTGAGCTCAGACTCTACCAAACTCCTGATCTAACGTCCTCCTATGACTAGCGTGTATGACAGCGTTCATAGTAAAAATACCCCTTTATGGATTACACCTATGACTTCCCAAAGCACACGTAGAAGCCCCCATCGCCGGATCTATGGTACTTGCCGCTGTACTTCTGAAGCTAGGAGGATACGGCATGATACGAATTACTATTCTGCTTAGCCCCCTAACAAGCTTTATAGCATATCCCTTCATAATACTATCAGTGTGAGGCATAATCATAACAAGCTCTATCTGTCTACGCCAAACTGACCTGAAATCGTTAATCGCATACTCTTCTGTAAGCCATATGGCCCTAGTAATCGTAGCTATCCTTATCCAAACACCATTAAGTTATATAGGCGCAACTGCACTAATAATCGCCCACGGCCTTACATCGTCTATGCTATTCTGTTTAGCCAACTCCAACTATGAACGCATCCACAGCCGAATTATAATCCTTGCACGCGGCCTACAAACCCTATTACCACTAATAGCAGCATGATGACTGCTAGCAAACCTAACCAACCTGGCGTTACCCCCTACCATCAATCTAATCGGAGAATTACTTGTGGTGATAACCTCATTTTCATGATCTAATATTACCATTATCCTTATAGGAACAAACATTATTATCACTGCCTTATACTCCCTATATATACTTATTATAACACAACGCGGAAAATATACTCACCATATCAAAAATATTAAGCCCTCCTTTACACGAGAAAACGCCCTAATAACGCTTCACCTTCTACCCCTACTACTGCTATCATTAAATCCTAAAATAATTCTAGGGACCCTTTACTGTAAATATAGTTTAAGAAAAACGTTAGATTGTGAATCTAAAAATATGAGTTCAAACCTCCTCATTTACCGAAAAAGTATGCAAGAACTGCTAACTCATGCCCCCGTGTATGAAAACACGGCTTTTTCAACTTTTAAAGGATAGAAGTTATCCATTGGTCTTAGGAACCAAAAAATTGGTGCAACTCCAAATAAAAGTAATTAACTTATTCACCTCGCTCACCGTTACAACATTATTTATACTTACAATGCCAATTATCCTAACTAGCACCTCAATCTACAAAAGCAAACTCTACCCACAATACGTGAAAACCACCATCTCCTATGCCTTTATAATTAGCATAATCCCTGTAATAATATTTATTTACTCAGGACAAGAAATAATTATCTCAAACTGACACTGAATAACTATTCAAACTATAAAATTATCACTAAGCTTCAAACTAGACTATTTCTCGATAATCTTCATGCCTGTAGCCCTATTCGTCACATGATCTATCATAGAATTCTCAATATGATACATAGCCTCAGACCCTTACATCAACCGATTCTTCAAGTACCTATTAATATTCCTCATCACCATAATAATCCTAGTAACCGCAAATAATCTATTTCAACTATTTATCGGCTGAGAAGGAGTAGGCATTATATCTTTCCTACTCATTGGATGATGATACGGACGGTCAGACGCAAATACAGCCGCCCTCCAAGCAATCCTATATAACCGCATTGGAGATGTAGGCTTTATTGCAGCCATAGCATGATTTTTAGCTAACCTAAACACGTGAGACTTCCAACAAATCTTTATAATTCATCACAACGACCTAAACATACCACTCATAGGCCTCCTGCTGGCAGCAACCGGTAAATCAGCCCAATTCGGCCTACACCCATGACTACCCTCCGCCATAGAAGGACCAACACCAGTATCAGCCTTACTGCACTCAAGCACTATAGTTGTAGCTGGAGTATTCCTCCTAATCCGATTCCACCCTTTAATAGAACATAATTCAACAATACAAACAGCTACCCTGTGCCTAGGAGCCATCACCACCTTATTTACAGCAATTTGTGCCCTCACACAAAATGACATCAAAAAAATCATCGCATTCTCAACTTCAAGCCAACTAGGACTGATAATCGTCACAATCGGAATTGGCCAACCATATCTAGCATTTCTACATATCTGCACCCACGCGTTCTTCAAGGCCATACTATTTATATGCTCCGGATCCATTATTCACAACCTAAATGACGAACAAGATATTCGAAAAATAGGAGGCTTATTCAAACCAATACCATTCACCACCACCTCACTGATCGTAGGCAGCCTAGCACTTACAGGCATACCATTCCTCACAGGATTTTACTCCAAAGATCTAATTATCGAAACCGCCAACACATCGAATACCAACGCCTGAGCCCTACTACTAACCTTAACAGCCACATCTATGACAGCTGCCTACAGCACCCGAATAATATTCTTCACACTTCTGGGACAACCCCGGTTTAATTCCACAATCACAATAAATGAGAATAACCCACTACTAATTAACCCCATCAAACGTCTACTACTAGGAAGCATTTTCGCTGGGTACCTAATAACCCTTAACATCCCACCTATAACAACTCCACAACTAACCATACCTCATCACCTAAAACTTACTGCCCTCACCATAACACTCATAGGTTTCATTCTGGCCCTGGAACTCAGTATAACCTCACTAAACCTCAAATTCAACCACGCATCAAACCTATTCAAGTTCTCAAATCTCCTAGGATATTTCCCCACCATCATTCATCGCCTGATACCAATAACAAACCTAACAGCAAGTCAAAAATTAGCCTCCACACTAATAGACATAATCTGATTAGAATATTTACTACCAAAGTCCATCTCCCACCTACACATAAAATCATCAACCACCATTTCTAATCAAAAGGGCCTAATTAAACTGTACTTCTTATCCTTCATAATTACCCTAACCCTAGCCATAATGTTAATTATAACTAATTCCCACGGGTAACCTCCATAATAACTAATACCCCTACAAGAAGAGATCAACCGGTTACAATAACTAACCAAGTACCATAACTGTACAAAGCCGCAATACCCATAGCCTCTTCACTAAAAAACCCTGAATCCCCAGTATCATAAACCACCCAATCACCTATACCATTAAATCCAAACACAACATCAACCTCATCATCTTTCAGAATATAACAAGCCAACAGCAACTCAGATAAAAGACCCGCAATAAACGCACCTAACACAGCCTTATTAGAAACTCAAACCTCAGGATACTGCTCAGTAGCCATAGCGGTTGTATAACCAAAAACAACAAGCATGCCACCCAAATAAATTAAGAACACCATTAGACCTAAAAAGGACCCACCAAAGCTCAATACAATACCACAACCAACCGCCCCACTAATAATCAAAACAAGGCCCCCATAAATTGGAGAAGGCTTAGAAGAAAAACCCACAAAACCAACCACAAAAACAATACTTAAAATAAATACAAAATATGTCATCATTATTCCCACATGGAATTTAACCAAGACCAATGACATGAAAAATCATCGTTGTAATTCAACTATGAGAACACTAATGACCAACATTCGAAAAGTTCATCCACTGGCCAAGATCATTAACAGCTCGCTCATTGACCTACCCGCACCATCCAATATCTCAGCATGATGAAACTTTGGATCCCTACTCGCAACATGCTTAGTCTTACAAATCCTAACAGGACTATTCCTAGCCATGCACTATACCTCAGACACCACCACAGCCTTCTCATCAGTCGCCCATATTTGCCGAGACGTGAACTACGGCTGAATCATCCGATATATACACGCCAATGGAGCTTCCATATTCTTTATCTGCCTTTACATACACGTAGGACGAGGACTGTACTATGGATCCTACACACTCACAGAGACATGAAATATTGGCATCATCCTCTTACTTACAATTATAGCCACGGCATTCATGGGCTACGTACTTCCATGAGGACAAATATCATTCTGAGGGGCAACCGTCATCACTAACCTCCTATCAGCAATCCCTTATATCGGAGCCAACCTAGTAGAATGAATTTGAGGAGGATTCTCAGTTGATAAAGCAACCCTGACACGATTCTTCGCCTTCCACTTTATCCTCCCCTTCATAGTATCAGCATTAGTAATAGTCCACCTACTATTCCTACATGAGACAGGATCCAATAACCCATCGGGAGTCTCCTCTGACTCAGACAAAATCCCATTCCACCCATATTATACAATTAAAGATATCTTAGGAACCCTTCTGCTAATCTTAATCCTAATACTACTAGTAATATTCTCACCAGATCTACTAGGAGACCCAGACAACTACATCCCAGCCAACCCCCTCAGCACTCCACCACACATTAAACCTGAATGATATTTCCTATTCGCCTACGCTATTTTACGATCTATCCCCAATAAATTAGGAGGAGTCGTAGCCCTACTCCTGTCAATCTTAGTCCTTGCCATTATCCCACTACTCCATACGTCAAAACAACGAGGGATAATATTTCGACCCATTAGCCAATGCCTCTTCTGACTATTAGTAGCTGACTTACTAACACTAACATGAATCGGAGGACAGCCAGTTGAATACCCCTTTATTGCCATTGGCCAACTAGCCTCAATCCTATACTTCATAATCCTCCTAGTACTTATACCCATAGCCGGAATTATCGAGAACAATATCCTAAAATGAAGAGTCTTTGTAGTATACTAATTACCTTGGTCTTGTAAACCAAAAATGGAGACCACCACAACCCTCCCTAAGACTCAAGGAAGAGGCAACAGCCCCACCACCAACACCCAAAGCTGACGTTCTAATTAAACTATTCCCTGATACGACTAGACCTCATATTCATATATACAACTTTACCTACTGTGCCACCATAGTATCTTCTTTTTCCCTCCCCTATGTACCTCGTGCATTAATGGTTTGCCCCATGCATATAAGCATGTACATACGATGGTTGATTTTACATAACAGCATTAAACTTAACAACCTTGATCGAAACAATATTAAGTCCTCGAAAACAAGTGCAACTCACCTAGTCCGCAGAGCTTAATCACCAGGCCTCGAGAAACCAGCAACCCTTGTAAAAAGTGTACCTCTTCTCGCTCCGGGCCCATTCCAACGTGGGGGTAGCTAGACTGAATCTATACCTGGCATCTGGTTCTTACCTCAGGGCCATGAAAACTCACGAGTTCAATCCTACTAACCTCTCAAATGGGACATCTCGATGGACTAATGACAAATCAGCCCATGATCACACATAACTGTGGTGTCATGCATTTGGTATCTTTTAATTTTTAGGGGGGGGGAACTGGTATCACTCAGCTATGACCGTAAAGGTCTCGACGCAGTCAGATAACTTGTAGCTGGGCTTAATTAATATCATTTACCAGCATCATATAACCATGAGGTGTATTTCAGTCAATGGTCACAGGACATACACGTATACACGTACACACGTACACACGTACACGTACACGTATACACGTATACACGTATACACGTATACACGTACACACGTACACGTACACGTATACACGTATACACGTATACACGTACACACGTACACGTATACACGTATACACGTACACACGTACACGTACACGTACACGTATACACGTATACACGTATACACGTATACACGTATACACGTATACACGTATACACGTATACACGTATACACGTATACACGTATACACGTATACACGTATTCACTTTAAATACGTATATTCATATTTAACTTAAATAATAGACATGAAGTTAACTAAGACAAACCCCCCTTACCCCCCATAACTTCAAAAAGTATACAAATATCTACTTTCGTCCTGCCAAACCCCAAAAACAGAACTAGACAAATGCAACAAAAATGAAGCCAGGATCCATGACCCAACTTAACCAACCCAAATAACAGGTCACAAAACACAAACATTATACTTAGATCTTAAGTCTATCTATAGATATACATTTATTATCTCTAACTCCCCCCTATCGATCCTTCACCCTTCTATCTACCAACCACCCTTATATCAATCTGCCA